TAGAAAAGGGCATGTGCGACACATGTTTTATGGGTCATTTTACTCATAGAATTCAATAGGCACACTCAATAAGTGATATGGACCACCTCTGGATGAATTTCAGGTCGAGGTCAGGTCAAGGTCAGGTCAAGTGAGATCAAATTTTGAAGTTGGTTGTTAAAGCCTAAAAAGGTGTCTATCTGATGCAGTTTTTTTTTACGGCGAATCGAATGGTGCTATTTTTGTTTCCGTACGAGGTCTAGAACTTCCAAAAAAGTCATTTTTCAAAAAATTTGCGTGTCGTGACGTCATACAATTTTGAATAACTCCCACATTTTTGAACCGATTCTTCTAAAACTCGGTATGTAGGTGCACATAGACCACTTCTCTGGCATACATTCCGTTTTTTTCGATACACTCAAAATTTTGGATTTTACAGCTATTTTCCCAAAAAGTCAGTTTTTTTTTGAAAAAATTTGGGCCAAAATCCAAAATTTTCAAAAAACCGAGATAGCCATTTGATAGACAAAGTAGAATTACGTATATCCTTTTTGTTACGTCTTGATTCCTTTAAAAATAAAGATGTTAGCGGCGTTTGAACTTTTGCCGTTTTTGAGGCGAAAATGGCGAACATGACGTCACTAAAATGTCAATTTCTCAAAAATTTTCCGACGGATGTCGCTCAAATTTTCAGGACACGTGTCAAATTGATGTAAGAAAAGGTACTGAAAGTTTGGCGGCGCTGCGCGCCGCCGTTTTTGAGATATTGCAAAAGTTCGCGAGGGGGGGTAAAATTTACCCCCCCAGCCCCGCGCGGGTTAACGTTCGTAGGAAGAAGCTGAGACCGTGCGGGCTTGTTTGAAAGTCCGACAGAGGAAAGGCCTGCTGCTGGTGAAGCGCTGCTCATTATTTATGAAGACAGACTGCCTAATGACAAGGAAATCCAGCTAAAAATTAAAACATTGGACGGTCTACGATATTTATCTTGTTATAATAGCCACTGAGCAGTGGCTGATAGCACTATCAGCTGTTATGCCAGCTGTTTGGATAGAAACATGTATATTTGATAACACAATATGAACTTTGCGTCATGTCTTGTGGCAGTGACCGACAACATGCCTATGAACAGTCCAGCCATAGTCTAGCGTAAGCGTTTCTTTATTTACTCATATCTATTGGCAAAATAAGTTTCGTGGTTCACGCAATTCAACATTCATCAGCCAGGAGCTATTCACTGTCAAAAGGCCAGCGGCTACATTAGTTCTCCCAGTAGCGATTTCTATATGCTCCGGCGCAGCCCTAATGGCCGGCTGGGCTAATTGTTCCGTCGTTTCGGATGCTAATGCGCCGCCAGACAAGGCCTGCCAGCTCCAGAAGGCAGCGCAAAAACCCAGATGAGCCGCCGGATAGCGGATCTGGGTACGTGCTGCCGCGGGGCTGGCTGTGGCACAGTAGGGGATGGGAGGATAGTCTTCTGGGTGACAGTGACACACGAGGAGGGAAAAGAGGGAGTCAAATATAACGACGGATATGGAGACAATGATTCCCATGTATGTAATAGTTCGAATGGGATATAATATGTTTGTGTGACATGATGACATAAGGTAACAGCTCAAGTTTGTAAGGGATTTTTTTCGTTACGAATATAAGCCGTAATGGACTTTATCCCACACGAGCCTTTTCCGCTACGAATATTTTACATATGGACCTTCGCTTACAAACACTGTCCTATATGTATATGCACCAAGCATGTGGCGATTGGCGGCATAGGCTTAAGCCTTGATGCATGTGGGTGTAACAGTGAGCTTGCTTTAATTTATTTTCGTCATAGTCGATTTCTCGACGGGGCGTAAAAAACGAAGTCCACCCATCCTAACACAAACGTTTTATTTATTTGTGCTGGCTTCATTAGGTACAGTTATACATAGCACCGCATTAGATAGAGGCGCTGACGGAAGCAAGGACTTGGATGAGCTCAGACAATATTGTTGGAATCGACAATCATATTTGGTTGTCTCAAGATAATCAGCGTAAACACAGACCAAATTACGGCCTTCCCTGTGGTCTGCCGTGACTTTAGACAGCAGGATTAGCTGCAGAAGTTTCCCAATGTCACCGCCCTGCGGCCTGGATACAGATGACGTTAGATGGAATTCCGTCTGTTTATATTTCCATACGACCTTGTGTTTTTCTGGGTGGTCTGAGCGGGTCCCGTCAAGAAGCCTCGCCAGTCTGGAAATCTACCCATAGCGGTACCGTCATCGAATATGGATCCTAAATGTCACACGACTTTCCAGAACACTGCAAATGCACATTTAGGGGATTTCGTAACGATTATTATTGACATGTTGAAACCATTGGACGAATGATTTTGTAAGTTTTATTTTCAGTGCAATATCTTCAGAAATATTTCAAGCGAGCAAAAGTATGTAGAAAGAGATATTTCAGACCATCCGTTGTAGGTATGCAACACCAAGGCTGTGTTGTACGACATTCCACCTGTCTTGGTGGGGTCAATAAATGCCGGACCTCCAAAATAAAGTCCGCCATCACACGCTGACATTTCACCTTCACCTGGACAACCTGCCATCAAAGAGAACCAGCCCTCGTTATCGCGCCGGCAGCCGGCGGCACTGTCTGAGGTCAATAAGGTCACCTGCCGGGGTGGTTCCCCGCGACAGGCCGCCACAGCAGCGGCTCATCGGCCCGGCCCGGCGGCCAGACAGCGCGTGACAACACCTTAACCCGCGCCCTGGTGGGGTCTGTTTATAACGCGACCTGGTGGGGGGGGGGGGGGTGTCGGAAGTACTTACCGTCATAAAGTTGTTTTGCAATTGGAAAGTTTTCCCTTCACGCGCTACGTATGCGCTGCCATTTTTATTTGGTAACATTGTTCGTGTCGGAGGTGGCGCGCCAGTCGAATACAGTGCACCGTGAGAGCTCCGCCTGTTTGTACCGTTCGTACGGGAAGCCGACCGAGAAGAGAGACTGAAACTGATCGCCGTTTTGCTTACCTATATATTTTAATTGTAAATCTAACATAGGTCCTCCGGGCCGGATGGACTGATATTTTTCAGTTCCATCTTGCTTGATTTTTGTTTTGCTTTACTTACCGTCAAGATCGTTTAGTGAATTGTGAATGTGATATCAAGATGGCAGAGCAAGATGAAAAGGCCAGATCAAGATGTAGAGGTAAGCTCACCAGATTGATTAATGATTTGAAGGAGTATCGCCTGTCACAAAATGTTGATGAAGATGAGCTGGCCTATAAGATTCACTTGCTTGACAAGAAGCTGAATGAGTTGAGACAGATTCAAACTGCTCTTGATAAGGTGGGCCTGCAGGATGACAGTGCTCATGACGAACTGGCTTCTGAGGAGTTGTTTAAGGCATCTAGGGTGCTCAGCCGCCTGGAGTCTGCATCTGCTGCCTCAGCCTCCCGTGCTGATCCGGTGAGGGTGTTTGATGATCAGCAGCAGCTGGACCTGAAGTCCTCCCTGGTTGTGAAGCTGCCTACTTTCGATGGTGACCTGATGAATTGGATGGAGTTCTGGGAGCTCTACAATGTGTCCGTGCATCAAAACCCCAGGTATGCTGATGTACAAAGATTTGTGTTGTTAAAATCCCACCTGGGCTCAGTGCCAAGGCAGACTATTGAGGGGATACCAGTCTCTGAGGAGGGTTACCGTGTGGCGATTGATGTTCTGACCAAACGGTATGCTAGAGAGGATGTCCGCCGTGAGTGTCTGCTTGGTCAGTTGCTGGATCTGCCATCTGTATCAGACCCTCATGACCTGACGGCCCTTCATCGCCTCATCGATTCGCTGACTGCTCGTGTGAGGGGTTTGGAGTCCCTTGGAGTGTCCTCAGACAGTTTCAGCAGCCTCCTGCTACCTGTCTTGAAGAAGAAGCTGCCGGAGGCCTGGCGCCTTGAGTGGGCGCGGCAACCGGCGGATGACTTCGGCACCTTTCTGGAGTTTCTACAGCAAGAAATGCTGGTGAGAGAACGAGCTGCCGGCTCTGCTCGATCAGCAGCGGCTGTCACCTCCAGGGCGGCTACTGGCTGCTCAACGGTGAGTGGTTTGGTGACCCACCGAGAGGTTCGTGATGCTGTTCGTCACCAAGTGAGGCCTGCTAACCATCAGACACGTGACAGGAGAGATTGGCAATGTGTGGCCTGTGGCGGTGCACGGCATGGGCTTTCTGCATGCGCTGTGTACCGTAACTGTGATGTTGGAGCCAGATGGGACATCGTGAGGACTGCAGGCCTGTGCTTCCGTTGTCTGGGGCCCCACTTTGCTCGCGATTGTTCGTCCGGAAACTGCCTGTCATGCGGGGGGCCTCACCACACGAGTCTCCACAGCACCAGCGAGCCGAGACCTCCGCTCGGAACGAGTGGAGCTGATCGGCAGCAGCCTTCACAGCGCACTGACAGACGCTGCCAGCCATCATCTGCGTACAGTAAGGAGAGGGCTCGGCCAGCCAGCTTTCAGCCACCGTTGCCAGTGGGTCAGCAGTCCCACCGTCCAGGTTGGTCTCCTGCTGTTCCCTGCCAGAACATGAATGTTGCCGCTGCAGTGGATGTCTTGCCGCCAGCTGCATCTCAGTTAGTTGTGTCACCACCTGTTGCCTCGCCGCCGCCAGTCGTAACACCGTCGTGCACTGCTGCCAGTGTTAACACCGCATGTGCTCTGCCTGATGCTGATGTGAAGATGCCGCCACCCGTCCCTGACCACTATTCACCCAGTGATCTGCCCTGCTCAGAACCTGATTCGAGTGCTAATCCTGCCGCCAGCGACGGAATCTGCTACATGCAGACTGCACTGGTAGAGGCGACGGGACCCCGCGGCACTTGCCAGCTGCGCGTGCTTCTGGACGGCGGCTCCGATTCGTCCTACGTGAGAACGTCCGCGGCGGACCTGCTCGGTCTCCCCACGGTGGGGAGTGGAACATTTGCCTGCCTGGGTTTCCAGGAACGGCTGGAGGAGCCGAGACAGTATGACAAGGTGAGGTTGTCACTGCAAAGTCGGCATGGTGGGGAGGTTCACGTGTTTGACCTCTGGAAGACCGATCGTCTGTGTTCCCAGCTGACCTCTACCCGAGCGCCTGCGGTCGTATTCGAACCACACCTGCTGCTCGCTGATGATTTTGGGGGTGGGCCAGTTGATGTGTTGATCGGTGCCGACCTCATGTACCGAGTTGTGCTATGGGAACAAGTGCGACTGACTGAGCATCTCAGGGCCCTGGAGACGGTGTTCGGCTACGTGCTGCACGGCCGAGACGACGTGCCGGTCTGCCAGCCGATGAAGTACGCGCTTCGCTGCAGCCGCCTTCAGACGCAGGACTTCAGGCCGGAACAGCTCTGGAGTCTGGAAACGCTCGGCATCACCGCGGAGGAGGAGAAAGCAGGACCATCGGCGATACCGAGATGGAGTGATGCAGACCAAAGGTACGAGATGAATCTTCTGTGGAAGTCAGGTGACCGTCCTGTATCCAATCTCAGCTCGACGGCGGCGCGGACCAGGCGCATGGAGAGTCGATTGACGTCATCTGAGCGAGAGGAGTACGACCGACACCTGGCGGAACTTCAGCGAACCGGCGTCGTAGAAGTGTCACCAGTCGAAGAAATGGATGGCTTCTACCTACCACACAGAGGTATCTGGCGAAACGGGAAACTGAGGGTCGTGTATGACGGTTCCGCCACGGACGCTACTGGTCGCAGCCTAAACGATTACCTGGACGCTGGAGGCAACCTGCTGCGGCGCCTACCAGCGGTGCTGCTGAATTTCAGGCGGGACTTGGTTGCAGCCCAGGCAGACATCCGAGCCGCGTTTCATCAGGTGTCTGTCGCCAGAGATGATCGCAAGTTTCTGCAGTTTCTCTGGGAGGATAGATGTCTACGTTTCAGACGCGTCCCGTTCGGGATAACCTGCTCACCCTATATGCTGCTGCAGACAATATCCACCCACCTTGGTCTGTACAGTGCCACCGATCCATCACTCTGTAGGAAACTGGAAGCTGGATTGTACATGGACGACGTATGCGTCTCCTTCCACAGCAGAGGCGAGGCTGAGTCAAGTATGAAGAGGACTGAGAAGATATTCTCTGATGCCGGAATGGAGCTGCATAAGCTGCACATCACTGGAGACGACACTGGAGCGGAGGCCCACGTCCTGGGCCTGAGATGGTGTACCAGCTCTGACCGTCTCGCCGTGTGTGTACCTCCCCTGCCAGCCATAACCACAAAACGCCAACTGCTGTCGACGCTGTGCAAGCCGTATGATCCTCTGGGCGTGCTCTCACCTTGGCTCGTTACCGGCCGAGCTCTGTTTCAGAGGACCTGCACGGGAGAGTCTCCTGACTGGGACGAGGAGATGAAGTCTGACATCAAGAAGGAGCTAGCCATTTGGTGCAGGGGAGCGTCGGACCGCGCTGTGTGGTTTCCTCGCACCGTTCGGATAGCGGATGACGTGACCTATCACGTGTTTTGTGACGCATCGAAAGTCGCGTACTGCAGCGCCATCTATGTCGCTTGTGATGGAGGTGTCAGGCTGTTGATCGCCAAATCCCGTCTTGCACCCGCTGCCTCCTCCCTCAGCGTTCCGCGACTGGAACTGATGGCGGCGCTCATCGGCTGTCGTCTGATGGACTTCGTGATTCGATCACTGGACCTCAGCAACCCACGAGTCGTGTACTGGACGGACGCGATGGACGTCCTCTACTGGCTGGATCAGCGCCGGGCATTGAAGGTGTTCGTCCGGAACCGGGTGACTTCAATTCTCCAGCTTACCAGCCGAGACAACTGGCGGTACGTCCGAGGGCAGGACAACCCGGCAGATCTAGGTACGCGGGGCATGTCCCTGTCAGACCTGACAGCGTGTGATGTCTGGTGGCGTGGGCCCGCTTTCCTCAGGTCCGCCTCTGCTGGACCGCAGCCGGCACTGGCAGCTGTGGGTGCTGATCTGCTGCTGTCTACCGAGGCGGCCGTCGAGCTGAAACCGGAAGAAGTTCAGACGAGGGTGCGGTTGATCGCAAGTCAAGGTGAGAAAGTGCCGTTCGACGTGACTGCCTGCTCTCACCTCTCCCAGGCCGTGGACAGACTGGCGTGGATGCGCCGCTTCATCTCCAACTGCCGCCTGCAGAGGACAGAGCGGATGACCGGACCGCTCACTCCAGAGGAGAGGATGGTGAGTTTAAGATATTGGATTCGAGCCGCGCAGCATGGTGCATATCAGAGAGAAATGCAAACTGTTCGCACTGATCAGCTGCTTCCGCCAGGGTCGCCCCTTGACAAGCTCCGTCCGCAGCTCGCTGACGATGGACTGCTGGAGGCGACTCTCCGGACTGGAGAGCGACCGGTGCCCATCTTGCCTGATCTCTCTCACATCACGACGTTGATTGTCGAGGAAGCACACCGACGGTGTTTTCATCAAGGGACGCGCGTCACTCTGGCTCTTCTCTCAGCTGAGTATGCGGTGAGAAGACGGACGGTTCGCCGCGCTGTAGACACTTGTCGCCGATGTCGACGATACCGTTCTTTGCCCTACAGATCGCCAGAGGGTGTTCTGCCGAGTTTTCGGACACAACCGTCTCGCCCCTTCGCCAAAGTCGGAGTTGATTACTTCGGCCCGCTGTTCGTCAACAACAGCGCCACCAAGGTATGGGTGTTGTTGATTACTTGTGCCACATCTCGAGCCTTGCACCTCGAACTTGTTCGATCCCAGACGACTGCTGATCTAGTCCTGGCGCTGAGGAAGTTCTTCGCGCTACGAGGAACTCCGACTCTCGTGTACAGTGACAACGCAAGGACGTTCCACGCGCTGTTAGGGCATCTTCCGAGGTGTGTCAGATGGCGCTTCATCCCAGAGGCCGCTCCTTGGTGGGGCGGGTTCTGGGAGAGGTTGGTGGGTGTGACCAAAGCTGCTCTACGGTCTACTTTGCATCTATGCCATCTGAGCTATGAAGAATTGTCCGTTACGTTATATGAGCTTGCCTTTTTTGTTAACCTACGCCCTCTTACTCAGGGTGATGGTGAAGAGCTTCTCACCCCTGCCCATTTGTTGTTTGGTGTGACATCTATCGACGGTGTGTTGTGTCCAACCCTGAACGAATGTCCGGTCAACAGGGCGTGGAAGCATCGAAAGAGGGTGTGTGATCACCTGACCCGGCGCTGGAGCACAGAGTACCTCCGCGCTCTTCGCTGTTGGAGCAAGTCGCCACGGGGGAGGCCCGACCGCACGCCCGGAGTTGGTGACGTCATCCTCGTGCAGAACGAGGGACCGCGCGGCCGGTGGCCGCTGGCGCGCGTGATGCAGCTGCTTCACGGTCCTGACGGCCAAGCGCGTGCTGCTACTGTCCGTGTGCGCGGGCGTCCCACGCGCCGCCCTCTCAGCCGGCTCTATCAGTTGGAAGCATCCGAGTGATACCTAACGTGAGGTGTTCTATGTCACTGCGGAACGTCGCTTGTTTGTTTGTTTTGTGATGTAAGCTGCTGTGTGTTACCGGGCCACCGTGATGTCTAGATATTCGTATTCAAGTCGGTTATTGCGAAATCTTGTGAGATTTCGGGTGGGGAGTGTATGTCGGAAGTACTTACCGTCATAAAGTTGTTTTGCAATTGGAAAGTTTTCCCTTCACGCGCTACGTATGCGCTGCCATTTTTATTTGGTAACATTGTTCGTGTCGGAGGTGGCGCGCCAGTCGAATACAGTGCACCGTGAGAGCTCCGCCTGTTTGTACCGTTCGTACGGGAAGCCGACCGAGAAGAGAGACTGAAACTGATCGCCGTTTTGCTTATATATTTTAATTGTAAATCTAACAGGGGGGGCTATTTTTTGCCCCCCCTCGTATCTCCGAAACTACTGGACGGATCCGCAAAATTCAAACGGCGTTCGAAAGGCCTGTCAAATTTGTCGAAGGAAACCAAATTTCATTGACCTCGGGGTCACCGATGACGTCACAGGTCAGGTCAAAGATGAAATGTTTCACCGTTCACGGGTCTTCTAGGGAATGCGCTATAACACCGAGGAAAACGCATTTTGTCGAGAATCAGCGATTGGGCGTCAGTTGCCTAGTAGATATGTTGCTATTAGAGGTCACTGACAATACCAGGTCACGTCACAGGTCAGGTCACCAAGGGTCACAGGTCAGGTCACATGAGCCCAACTTTACTAAGGTTGTGTGATGCATGTTTTATGGCCAATTTTTCATTTCCAACTCAATGGTGTTGGTTATAAGGCTATCAGGTACGGCTTAGGTCACTTTCTGGTGAAGTTCAGGTCAAGGTCAGGTCAAGGTCAGGCCAAAAAAGGTCAAATTTTAAAGTTGATAGTTTTGCATAAAATGGGTATTGATTCGATGCAGCTCGTCACGGGGAGTCTAATGGTGGTCTTTGTTTTGCGCTACGGGGTCTAGAATTGCTAAAAATTGAGTTTGAAAAGTTGACGTCATCAATTTTGAACAGTTTTTTCGCTATAACTTCGCCAAAAAAGAGGTATCAATCTCAAATTTGGTATGTGGATGGAAGGTGGTAAGGACTATCACATATATTCCGGTTTTTGCGAAATTCAAAAAACTTTTTGGATTTGTCGATCATTATATCCAAAAAATCTATTTTTTGATTTTTGGGGGTCAAAATCCAAAAATTTCAAAAATCCGAGATAGCAGTTTTGTAGCCCTGTCAATTCTACAGCTTTTATGTCTTAATCATTTTTCTGTATTTGCAAAGCTATAGGCCTGACAGCTCTTCCCGCGAGACCCTTTTTTGGGTCGAAAACGGCAGAACATGACGTCACTCTGACGTCACTTCCGGCCAACCTATCATAGCCTTTGGAAAAATTTTTGGTCACCATGTGTAAAATTGATGTCCGGGAGGGTACTGAAAGTTTGGTGACGATCGGCGCAGCGGTTCTGGAGATATATCGAAAAGTCTGGAGGGGGGGGGGGCAAAAAATAGCCCCCCCCCCACCAGGTCGCGGGTTAATAGTTAATTGTATTTGGTATGGAGCTCGCACGAAATCGACCGACCAATTACGAAACAATCTAGATATGACGGAAAATGATGTGACGGCTGTTGTCATTGCGCTGCTTTAACGAGCGCTGAATTAAAATCGATACATAAATCCTCTGCTGTATAATAATTTGTCGCACATGAAAGGACGGAATGGGGACATCTAAGCACCTTCATCGAAACGAGTCATTGTTATGGCCGACACCGTTCAATTTGAGGATGGGGAACAGTGAGGTGAGTTTGTCCATCGGCCCGGGATATAACGGGGCAATGTCATTAAAATATCCTGCCGGTTCGGATCACGCTGTCAACTGTCGGCTTGTTTCCAGGTGACAAGATATGTGCCCAGTGCCCCGTTCCAATACGAACTTCGATTTAAAAGGCACTCTGCACCAACAGGTCAGCAGAAAATCAAGCGAGAAGATTCAAACTATTCGACAAAACTTACCACCGAACACCCGTTGATCGGTTCCAGATGCCGCTGACACACATCGGCAAAGTGCCGTCTGGGATTTCTGCCTTTGCGGAGCATGTCACCCATGGATGTGAAATTAATATGAATCACAACCACATTGTAGACAGCCCTCCCCATTCCCCAGCGTCGGTACTCACCCGCTGTCTGTGCGTTCACCGCCCTCCGTCCCTCCCCGGCTGGCGAGACGAGCCCGACTGCCGACACGGCGCGTCGACGGGCGGTAGTCGCCCGAGTGTAGCCGCCGCCGGCGCCGGCCGCGCAGGGTCGATCCAGAGGGAGCCGCCGTCGCGTCGGCCCGGCGCCGCCCTCGGCAACAGGTGGCCGACGCTGGCGCCGGCTGGTGGTGACCCGGAGAACTAGAGCACTGGTGGTCAGTAAAACTGTGGTGAGGCAATTGTAATGTTACCGGTGATTCAGGATAAAATTGCTTCATAAGTTAACCCTAGAACGCCTAGGGGGGGGGGGGGTTGTATCAACCCCCCCCTGAGGTTTTTTCGAAGTGCACGCTAAACGGCTTGTCGTAGCGGGCTGAAGTTTTCAATACCCTCTGGGGCAACCTTTGCGCATCTTTTGCCGAAAAAAAATTGATCGGGTCATGTCAGGTCACGGAGTTATGACGTCATAAGAGGTACAGCCTCCGGCCGGATTTTCACAAACTGAGTGCCAACGCCCGAGGTTTCCTGCCGGTGGTACGGACATCGGTTGATGGATCGTGATGAAACTTCCCATGCATGTTGGGGCAAGTATTGGCTATCATATGGTATAAGAAATTTGACCGGGTCAGGTCAGGTCACGGAGCTATGACGTCACAAGAGGAACAGCGTCCGGTACTATTTTTGAAAAGCCCCCGAACCACTATTTTGCTAATTCTTGTCACCTCAATGGGAATATGCAGCAATATTAGCTTCTATAGGGAGCAAATGGACCTCCCAAATCCAAAAATACAATCAGATTTCAAAAATTTAAATTTTGATTTTTCGAATTTCTGCCGCCGACTGTGACCTTGCCGACTTCCGGCGCTCCCAACGCGCCATTTTTAGAGCTAGGGAAACGAAATACATACCAAACGATAGAGAATTGATCAAGGAACACGATAGTGAAGGTTTCAAGTCGATATCTCCCACCGTTTTGCCGCAATCGCCGCCGAAAGTTGAAAAAAGTCTATTTTTCCGAAAATTTGACCTTTGACCGGTCAAAAGTAGGTCAAATGTTGACCTATGACCAAAAAATATACCACCAATCGCGAGATCTCGTTGAGAGCAATCCGTTGGTTTTTTCCGCTAAGCTCTACGACCTTCCGTTTCGAAACGCCAGGGGGGGGTCGTAACAACCCCCCCCCCCTGGTCGTTCGTGTTATGAGAAATGGCCTGGTCGTGCGAGGGTTAAAACTTCACACAGGGCGCCTGTCATGTGCCTGGCGCACATGTCTCATGTGAGCGCCGATCAGCTGACCAGCGAACTCCACCGAGCGCTGACGAGCTCCACCGTGCGTTGTCGGATCGTATCGACAGTGTCGAAACGGAGCGATCAGCGAACTGCGGTCAGCCGCTCAAGGTGGTTTCCAACAGGTTATCTCAGCAGTGGGTGGCTGTCTCCTCATTCGACTAAGTACTTGCTTTAGGTATGGAGGGCGGGTAGGTATAACAGATTTCCCCGGTGAGGTGCGGTGTCTTGGAAACTTCCCGTACCACACCAGAGCCACTCCGGGTTCCCAGTTAAGCCGACAAACTTTGTTGGGTGGAAGCTCAGCTCTGCCTCCAGAATCAGATGTCGTCGTATTGACACAACTCGTCTGGGCTCAGACCGGATGAGGGAGACGGCACCCTGAGCCCGACAATCACGGTCAGCCCGGAGTGGCAGTATTCAGAGCCCGCAGTGCCACCGTTAAACCGTTCACCCGGTCCCAGACGAACCGTAACTCAGACACACGGCCGCGCCCACCGCCGCTCCGCCCTGTGAGCCGTGCTGTCGTGGACGGACCGCGAGTTCCAGACCCCCGGGACGGAGTTTACCGAGCCGTCTGGCCGTCCACAGCCCGCCATCGATCTGTGCCGACCGTCCCGACCTTGCACCGTGACGGGCCGCGGCTGACTGACCGGCGGGGGGCTGCACTCGCACGGAACAGTGGAGTGAGCCAGACGCCACTACAACGGCAGCCAGCGGCAGGTCTGCACTGCAGCATACCAGTCGTACGGCATCCCCAGATGCCGCCGGCAGACCCGTCAGCCCAGAAATCCCCAAAATTTGTCACTGGTCTGCCTGCGGTCCGCCGGCAGTGTCCCGTCGCCAGGCCTCAGTACCCCACACAGCAGCGGCGACTCACAGCATCGATCCGTCGTCCGCCGAGCCGCCGCCGGGCCCCGTGAGAGAAACAACGGTTAGCAGTCGTGTTATTTACACATAAGAATATCATGATACAGACATCGCCGGTCAAATAAAGATCACGGGCAGCGGCGCCAGGCGAAACGAACAGAACGTGGGGCCGTAGCTGACGCGGCGCCACAGCGCAGCTCACTAGACACATTGGTTTTCGACGGTTCGAAGTTACAAAGCCGGAAACACACATATACGATTTGTCTATCTGAAGAGCGCGATTCCCACAAGATGCCGAAATAATCGTTTCGATGTACCGTTTACATAGGCCGGATCGATAACACATCACCAGTGTCGTACACATCCGTTTGATACCGCGCGCCGGGTAATATCACGAACTCAGAGACACGGCGCACACATATGACCCCGCTCCCTCCCTGTGACCTCACAAACGGCGCAGTACCGTGGGCCGCTCCGTTCCCCGGGGGTGTGTGGACACTGAACCAGTCGCGAGCGGTGCGTACCGGAGGCGGAGGGCAGCCGGTCAGCGGGGCAGGGGACGGGCCGCGGCACCAGACCACCCCGTGAGATGCGGTGGAAAATCCACACCGAGCGAGGCCACCGCGACACCGCGGGGCTCGGAAAATCCAGTGGGCCTCTCCGCGCCGCGGACTGGCTTCCCTCCGTGGGACTTCCCCGTGTATTTTTCAGCGGTCACCGCGCACCCATCACATCTCGCCCACCCGGGTCACCTCAGGTGGACCACCCCACAACAATCAGTGACACGACCGCCCTCAGCGCCGGCCCCAACAAAACATAACGCCAGCCGGCAGAGCGCAGCGCAACACATACCAACGACCAGGCACGGCACGGCACTCGAAGCACCGCGAAGCGACGACAGGGTGTGACTACTTCCCTCTCCCGACTCTCTCTGCTCCCGGTGGGCGGCCCTCTCTCTCCGACAGCGCGGAGACATCGGCCAGGCTGCTCTTCCAGCGGCGACAATCACAGATTAACGGCGCGCCAGACGGTTCGGCTCGGACGCGCGCTCACTACACAACGGTCAGAGGTGACAGAACTGACAGAAAGATACGATAAAACAAACGTGATTTTACAAGACAAACTATCACTGAAAATATATCTCTAGCAAGACGATAAACCCAAGAACCATTCTGAACAAAATATCTAGATCCTCTGTGATTTCCCAAACCGCATACACCGTCGTTCGGTCGATTTCTGCACCTCTGTTCAGATCAGCTGTGTTCCGCAGCCTCGCCCACTCAGTGCGCGCAGGAAGCGGGCCGCCCGGACATCGCGCGTCGGCATAATACAACTAGCGGCTATCGACAGTTAAATAGCGAGGAGCGGCCCGCGCGCCGGGCCCGGGACGGCGCCTAGCGGCACTCCCACACTTTGACCGTCTGGTCAACGCTGCCAGTCACCACGTACGGCGCGTTCGGGTGCATGTCTGAAACACAGCGGGCAGACGCACGCGGTTAGATGACGTCGAGGGTGGATTAGATAGGCTGGACTACTGACAGGTCATCGACGACAGAGGGATATAGCGGGATATGAAGGTAGTCAAATGTCACAGTCGAGTCCAGTAATGACCAACAACAGAGCCCTGTTCGGGCAGCGCATCCTATTGCAAAATTTTGCACCACGCATGCGCAGTTGGGGTCTGTCGGGTGCCAAGCTCCGCCGTTCGGCGTATGACGTCACACGTGTGACGTAGGCTCGCGCAAAATCTTTCAGTTTTGCGCAAGAAGAAAATAGTAGCTGCAGGAGGCGAAAGTGGCGCGGATTAAAGTTTACCCTCATATATTTCTTATTGTAAGTGGTTAGTATGGTGTTGTTTTGGTATCATTATCTTTCTTTTCAGTGGCACATTGCTATTAACCACATTTGAACGCATTTTACTTAGTAACTGAACGAAACACACCAGTCCATCCGCGCCACGGTTCGCCGCGTGTCGCGTGGCCCTCGGCCTTGCGAACCGGCGGAGAGGGGGCGGAGCATGGGCGGAGCCAGGCGGCTGACATCATCGCATGTGTGACTTCACACTCAGCAAAATATTTTGCGCGGACCCGAACAGGGCTCAGGATTTCACCAACGTCATTTCATTGACTTGATTGTTACCGCTGAAATAGTAGCACTATGTGTCGTTTTCATTCCAGTTTTCATTCCATGCACTTTGAAACATTTGTCCGCGTTAACCCGCGCCCGGCTGGGGGTCCTGGATTTCCACGCCCTGCTGGGGGGGGGGGTGTTTGAACACCCCCCCCTTCTAACTCGGCTCCTGGGCCACGTAGCGATACGCGGAAGGCGGCGTTCGAAAGAGCGTCAAAAATAATGACGAAATCACTTTGGTCACTTTTTTGGTCAGGTCAAAGGTCAGGTCACCAGAGGTCATTGAAGGCAAAATTTCGCCGATTTCCAGGTCGAATGTCGACAATTTCCAAGAAGCCAGCGCATAACTCGGGAACCAATAGAGCTACAGCGCCGCGGAAAAGCGCATTCGATAGCTCTATTAACGCTCTTTCTGAGCAATTCTCTCAGATTTCACCTAACGTCAACGGTTTTGCCTGCAGGGGGCAAAAACTGCAAAAATAGCCGATTTTTCCAGAAACAGTTTTTCTGCAATAACTTTTGACCCAAGCCTTGTACGAGCTTACTTTTACCGGCATCGTATTCCTCTCGTCAAGACGCATCGAATGAACTATAATTTGACCTTGAAAGGTCAACTTGAAAATTTGACCTCAGGTCAAGGTCATGACCTGACCGAAAAGGGTCATGTTGAATATCAGTCGATCCGTATCGTCGAGCTGAACACATCTAAGGCGTTTTCATCGCTCTAGCATGCCTCTATCAAAAGTTATTTGCGAAAAACTGTTAGATACCATTCGTGACCTAAGATGACCTCAGGGCATATACAGGGGTCACGGACACCCTTTTCATGTTCAGTGTGTCTAAACCACTTGTAATTCAG